GCTTAATGTTTCCAATTGTAATTAAATTTCATGTGATAATGATCAAATGAGAATGATGGCATGTTACCATAAAAAGCTAATTTTGATGAACATGTTAATAGATCACTGAGGTGTCATTTCAGATGTTAACAGAAGGCAATTGGAAGCTGGTTTCTTGCATAAACTTCCAGATTTATAGCACATGGTGGCAGCATTGCTCCACCACACGCAGAGACAATGGTGTTCATCAGTACTGTACTGCTGGCTAGTGGGCCCACATTCAGCTTCTATCAAAGCTTTCAACTACTCACAAAAATACAAGCATGGCTGTGTAGTGTGCAATAAGGTCAGGAGACTAGCCTCTGGCAGCTCATCTTCTTTCTCAAAGATGCTCTTGACTTCTCATCTATAGAGAAAACTGGTATTCTTCTATGCAGCCTTTTTTGCTCAGTCACTAGTAAATGTTTCCCTGTTAAGGTGTGGTTGTTGCTGCTGAGAGCTAAATTAACCATGAATTAAAAGGTTTTGACATACATCTGTCTTTGGCGATGAGCGTTTATTTAGATATCCATGTTGCCTGCACAGTGCAGTGTTGCTGCTGGGAGAATAAATGGCTGGTGTTGAGAGATGATTGGCTGTGCTCAGGTTTATGTCTTTGTTGTTTTCTTGGTGTTCTTATGCACATCACCCCACGATATCCTTATTGCTGACATGGGTATGTCTATGCCTTTAACAAGCCATATTTCTTCCATATTGTCTCCCAGTGTCACAACTGTTTTCCCTTTCAGTCATGCTTCATCTTCAAACTCCTTGCTGTCATCACACAATGAAATGTGTAAGGTAAAATGGAAGCTGTCCTCACGTCTTTTCCTTGCACCTTATTTACATGAGTAAAACTAAGAAACAAGGAAAAGAGGGAAATGTGGATGCGAATAAGGGAATTGAGATTTCCCCATAGTATTTTTGCCATCATTCCATAGCTGTAAATCCTGTCTCAAAAGTTTTCCAAAGTACTGTGCAGTGTTTAAGCATCATTTTTCACTCCAACTGGACTTCCTGGTTCATAATTCATAGTCTCATGTGTATCCAAATCAACACACCTCTAGCAGTGCAGCCCCTTATGCTTTTAACCCTGTTGTCTGTTTAAGTAGTCATCAGTCAGTGCTTCAATTCAACCCAAAAATAGACAACATTTGCTGCTTTTGAATAGCTGGTAAAGTGTGGTTACACAGTACTTTGAGCATTTAGACAATATGTCAAAGGTAGCTGTTGTTCATGGATGATCTGGAACAGTTTGAAAATTTGTAAGGCTGGAAACTACAAGGCCAGGACTGGGCGCTATTAAATGGCCAGTATTATTGTCACCTCTAATGCTTCTTCTCCTGGTAATGTTTATTTATCTCACTAATTTTTTACATTTATTAACTATCTCTTCTCCCCCCCTTTGTTTTCCTCCTTCTCTCTTTCTTTGTTGCCTGTTTATGTTGCCTCTGTCCTCTTTGCAATGTTACTTGCATTTATTTAATCTTGAATAATTTCTCCTTTTCTCTCCTCTCCTCTCCTGGGGGTATCTTGTCCTCTTTCTATCCATCTGGAACATTCCCTGGCCTTTGCCCAGTACCCTGCAGCTGGTCCCCATTGAGCATCCCCAAGACTTTGACTCCCTCATCTTCTCTTTTCATCTCTTTTCTCCTCCCCACCATTAAGATTACACTCTAAAATGTAAAAGAAAAGGATCTAGGAAGCATTTTGATCTTTGGACTGCAACAAAGTTCACCTAGAATTCTTTAAAGATCTTCTTTCACAGTTGTTTCAATGAGTTCATAAACACGAGGCCTCTTTCAAAAGGAAACATCCCATTAAAAATCTTCATACAACAAACAGTTTTGGATGCAGCCTATAATTTAAAGTATCGATTGGTCAGAAGGGACCTGAAAAAAAGAGGTGATTTGTTTTTCACAGTAGGAAACGTTTTTTAAAATGTCTGGAAGTCCATCAACTCCCTGTTTTTAGAGTGCAGGATAAAAAAAGCTAAAAAGTAGGGTAGAGGGAAGGTGGAGAGATGTTTCCGATTGAAGAATGTAAGTAATTAACCCCTCTTGCTCTCAAAATAAAAACACTCTTCTGTAATGTGTGGGGGTGACTGATTTGTGTGAGTGCATGCATGTGTACTACAACCATTTTGTATACACATTAATACATTTGTTTGTCATATGTAAAGCCTCAATTCAAAGGAGTACCCCCCCAACACACACACACCCTTGTTTTACTGAGCTCCCATGTCACAACAAACTGAGACACTTCTTAACTGGGATGGATGGATTTCATTATGTGACATCAAGAGAAAGTGAGAACAGTGATGGAGGGGGAGGAGGTGCAAACACTGTGTGCTACAATAATAAATCTTATAGAGCTGCTGTCCTCACTCACACACACACAACCGGTGACTGAAATCCTCCTCTCCTATCCACTAAAAGGCTGTCCCCTACCACGTCACCTCATGAATGGCGCCTCCTCTCCTCGCCACAGATCCCCTCCGTTGATGTTGCCTTTACACTAATACAGTGCGACATGGACAAAGCTGTGAGAATGCTCATCAAAGGCACTGAGGACAACGTGCTGACGTGCTGCCATTTGGTCAGCATTATAGTGTTTATGTAGATGATTTTCTTTTTATAACAATATTTGTCACAGGCCTAGCATCAAGCCGTTTGCTTCAGTGGAATACATGCAAAGGGATATTAACTGCCAAACCAAAAGCACAAAAAGGCTGAATTCCTCTTGCAATTCAAATGATGCAGCAGCTGTCGGAAGGGCTGTCCTTCAACATACCCTCTAAAATATTTTTCAGATTTCATTTTATTAGTGATTTATGTAGTTGCACCTTACGTAAATTTTACTGTCCAACATCAAGGTGTAAATCCGGTTTTAAGGCCTTTTTACACAGTATTCTCTAGGAGAAATGCCCTTTATTTATCATTCTGCTGGCCTGAAAGTGGCTTATTTGATACATACAAAATCTTAAAAAATGATGTATTCAGCTTATTTGCTAAATCCCCAAAGCACAAAATAAATACATGATCATGCAATCACAGATTTTTTTGGAGGCCTGCATAGGGTAAATAGTGGAACAAGCACAGTCTCTTCAGTACTTTGAGTAGTTTATTTAAGTCTATAACTTTGGATGAATTGACGACTGCATCCAAAGCTGGAAAGGGTTTTGCCTTTTACTCAGGCTGTGACTTAAAAATTCCACACAGATATAATTACTGCCCAGCTTTCCTCTAAGCTCAGTTTTAGTCTTTTAGCTTGTTGTTTTGGTTTTTCAACTCACATCTTTCCTGTTTTGTTTGACTTTCATTGCTCTCTTTCATCAGCACTTTTGCAGCATGCAGACAAAGTTAGTGACTTTGAACATTTAGTTACTAAAAAACCCGACACTTTTCTCAGGAGCTGACAGAGTCAGTTTTTATTTTAAAAACTCTTATATTCGAAATGCAGTGATTTTTTTTACTTTACAATTTTGTGACTAGAAGTAATTTGCCTTGTGGGCCAGCAGAAGGCGCTCTTAAAATTTAGCTTAACCTGATGCCCTGTTGACCTCACAGGAGGCTAACCGTCATTAAAAAACAGCTGAAGAAGAAGAAGAAGACCTCACAGGAAACTAAGCTAATACATAAAAATGGAGGAGGAATCTAGCAAGAAAAGCTGTGCTGTTTGGATGTAAGGACACTGAAGCATTTGAGAAGCAAATTTTGTAAAAATTAAGCTATGTAGGTTAAATTCAGATTAAGTGAACTGTAATGTACTATGTGTAATTTCATATCCACTGACAAATGACAGCACTAGGAGTTGGAGGAGATCAGACTGGAATTAAAAGAGAGTGAACATCAGACTTGTATTCATCAGGTGGACACAGTTGCAAATGAATGTTGATACCAGTGGATGTGTAAGTAACAACAAAACATTTTTTTACATTACTTTGCTTTGGATTTTGTGCACCCCATGTGTCCTTCTAATTCAGTTCATATAATTTAAAAGTATTTGGTGACATGATCCATTGATAATGACCTACAAGGGACACATGATTTTGAGTTTCTTGTTGGCTTCATTATAGCTGATAGTTTATAAAAAAAAGTCAATATTTTGTGGCACAGCAAAAGACAAAGTTGATAGTAACAAATAATTTATATTAATCATAACTGTTCATGGTATAAAGCCTCCACACCCCAAATATCACTTTGTGGTTTCCTGGTTGGAATTTTGTTGTTTTGTTTTTTTTTGTTTTGGGGTTGTTTCAGCCACTCATGGGTCATTCTGTTCTGTCTTCTTCTCTTCTGAAGTCAACACAGATGCACAGTTAGTTATAGTCATTGCATTTGTAATGATAGTGAAGCTGTACAAGATAATGTGCCGATGTGTGTGTAAGATGTGCAAGAGCAAAAGGAGATTTAAGCCTTTAGAAGCACACTTTCAAATTTATTCTGTCACACACGTGCACACACACACACACACACACACACACGCACACACACACACAGGGGGATTAAGGTACATGGCATAAGTGGTTAATGTAAAAGAGGCTGTTGGGTTTGGACGGCTCACAGTGGGATGGTCCTCTGCTGTTTGATGCCCTCAGCTGTGGATTAACTTGCTCCTGCCATCTGTGTATTAAATGAAGTGTCACTATTGTGGAAGGGAAAGACACAAGAAATGGGAAGAAACTTTGAATCCCCCGCTTCAAGAGCAAGTGTTGAAAGAGTTGTGACTTCACACCCTCATATGAATGACAACCAGAGCTTGAGCCAGAGCCTGATTCAGGACCAAGCTCTGGTTCATATATCCCTATGCTCTCTGATAGTAAGGCCGCGGTTGCTCCTGTTCTCTATGTAAGCACACAGGCTGTGGTCCAGGAGTTTAAAGTTCAGGCAGATATGGTCCTTGTAAAAGTAAATGCCAGTCCTCCTCACAATATTGCAGGTGTCTGGATCCAGGCACCACAGCCAATTTAGGATGGATATTTCCTCTCTTGCCCAGTGCACGATTTACTGTACAGGTGATTTTTAATTACTTTATTTGCCATTGCCTTGTTGGTTTCAGGACTGTGGCATTTAGTTTCAAAACCAAAGCTGCCCTTTCTGAGGAAGGCCGCCACTTTGTGGTGTTGGCTCAGTGTGGTTGGCTTTAACAAACTGGAGGTCCGCCACAGTATGTGGAAGAAGGAGAGTAGAGAGAGACATAACAAGATGTCCCTGAGTCCAGTCTGCATGGCCTCTGTCCTCTGGGTATCCTTCATGTACTCATCCATTAGGTCATTAATTTATGAGGCTTCTCCCCTGCAAACGTCCTGTGCAGAATGTCTTTAGTGCTCATCTGATCTCTTTTTGCCCGCAACCTGCTCTACTATCATAGACATGATCAGGGCCCAGAGTCCTACAGGATCAGGTATAATAGCTCCAGACCCCCAGAGCTTCTTCATAAATGTTCACATAGGACATATAACCATGCAGCATGACTTTATATCCATTGCAAGTGCACCAGGTCGACTTAGGTTTAAATAAGAACCACTACATTTTTATTCATGCCCCCACATGTTTTTTAATGTGAAAATAATCAAGACATTCAGTGATGCATGGGCATTTGCAGATCATTAGTACATTTAGGTTATTTCTTAAAACTTGAATTGATTCTAGTGTTGGAGGAGATGAAAACTGAAGTGCCTTTGAAGAAAAACCTCTACTACTGAGGCATTTTCATTTCACAAGAAGCAGGTTCAGGTCATATCTCACCATGGAAGTTCCCTTTTCTTTCTTCTGGCCTGACGCTCATCTTTTTCTGATCTCTGTATGCATTGGCAAGACCCACAGAGCTTCCACTGGCACATAGCAACTATCTCTTTTAGTCATGAAAAGAAAAGGAAAAACCTCTCACCCAGTGAACATCCTGAAAAACCTCTGGAAGTGCTCACTTCCTGTCTACAGCGTACAGCAGGTTGTGGGAGCACAACCAACTGTTAGCCACCATAGCAGAGTAAAATATAAGCCAGTGGAAAAAGAACAAAACATGTCAGCTCCTGGTCTAACAAGGCTGCATCCTCACTGGAATATTTTAAATGTATCTTCTGATAACAAAAGTGCTGAACGTACTTATGCTTACACAGAATACTCAATAGCTACAGATACAAGAGTATACTATCCAAGAAGTAGTTAATTGTTGTATGTGTGACTTTACCTAAAACATACACTGGGTTGAAGAAATGGCCCCTGTGAATATAGAGATGAAACTTGACAAAAATAAATATAAGGGTGGGTTTTATTGTGTAATAGACTGAAAGCAGTGCAAAAATAGAAACCTAATGTGATCCCCCAGTGTTACACAACTGGTTATGGGTAAGGGCCTTCTGGCATGTGTTATTAAGTTTTGTAAGGCGGCGACATCCAAGCGGCGCATTTTGCTGCCGCTGAGTTTGATGTCAGAGGGAGAAGCAGGCAGTTGGAGGATGGAGGAAAGAAAAAAAAGACCTTGAAGATCCAGTGCCAGTAGAGAAAAGTTATGATATGATGGAAAAAGATACCGCATATCTCAATTTTTCTCTTTCTCTTCTAACAAAAGGTTAAAGAGATGCAATAATTTTCAAAAAGTTCACAGTGATCCTGTCAGCGGGGATTGTACTGTATGTAATTTGGTTTAATAGATGCACTGAAGCCCACCAGGGTGTGAATAGTAGTAAGCACAAGGCAAGATTGTGCCACTAGTTAAAAGTTACAGATGGGTTTTATGTTTGGATTTAAATGTCTTCACTGAGTCAGATGGTCTGATGTCAGCAGGGAGGTTATTCAAGAGGAAGGGGGTACGATCATGGGCGGAGTCCAGGAGGTGGCCAGGAATGGAACTGGGCACTGTGTGGCAGCAATGTACTTGGCTGGGTGTTGATAAGTTAGCTAAATAGGTGCTTTGTGTTTGTTGTTGCCTCATTTCAAGGTCAAAGGTCAAGGTCAAAGTGTTTGTCATATGCACAGTTAGGAAACGTGTTTCCCTGTACAATGAAATTCTTACTTTGCCATCCGCATCAATGTCACATAATACAAGTGAAATATACAAATCTAAATAGGCAGTAAAATCACAAATCTAAGGCACTTTAAGGCAGCAAGTGAAGGAAGCAAATAAAAATACAAGGACACAATATAACGCAGAGAGAATATATTCTATGTTGGAGCCATGGAGTGCAAATACTCAACAGTGAGTGTGCAATTATGTATGTGCAAAATGAGTATGTAAACAGTACAGATGGAATTACATTAGGTACATCATGAGTCAGCTGTTTACGAGTCTGATGGCAGAGGCAAAGAAAGAGTTTTTCAGTCTAGAGTTCCTGCATTTCACACTTCTGAACCTCTGGCCAGAGGGTAGGGAGGTGAACAGTCCATGCTGGGGGTAGGTGGGGTCCTTGAGGATGGAGTCAGCTTTCCTACGCACCCTGCAGTGGTAAATGCTCTGCAGAGAGGGCAGTGGAGTCCTGGAGATTGTCTCCGCAGTCTTTACTACTCTCTGCAGGCGCTTGCGGTCCATAGCAGTAGTGCTGCCATACCAGACAGTGATGCAGCTGGTCAAGATGCTCTCGACGATGCAGCTGTAGACGTTGCAAAGGATCCTAGGCAACATGCCAAACCTCCTCAGCCTCCTCAGGAAGTACAGCCACCATTGGGCCTTCTTGACCAGCTGTGTGGTGTTATGTGTCCAAGTGAGGTCCTCACTGATGTGGACACCCAGGTATTTGAAGCTGCTCACCCTCTCCACTTCAAGCCCCCGGATGAATAGTGGCTGATGAGTTCTCCTCTCCTTCATCATGTCCACTGTCATCTCCTTCATCTTGTCCGTGTTGAGGATGAGATTTTTGTCCTCGCACCATGACACCAGACCGGCCACCTGCTTCGTCCCCACCAGTGATGTGACCTATCACTACGGTGTCATCCGCGAACTTTAGGATGATGTTGTCTTTGTGGGAGGCGACACAGTCGTGGGTGAACAGGGAAAGGATGGGACTGAGGACACATCCCTGTGGGGGTGCTGATGTTAAGGATAATCACCTTTATTGGCCAAGTATGTTACACACAAGGAATTTGTTTTCGGTACAGAACCGATGGCAGCCATCTGCGGCGTCAACTCAACCAATGATGCTGGTCGTGGTCCTGTAGTTTGTGATGTGCTGCAGGCCTTGCCACATCCATCTGGAGTCAGCAGTAGAATAGAAGCCATTCAGCTTCTCTCTGTACTGCTTCTTGGTCGCTGTGATGGCTTTCCTCAGTCTGTACTTTGTAGCTTTGTACTCTGTCTCATCACCTGATCTGAATGCATGAGAGCGAGCATGCAGTATGTGGTGTACCTGACTGTTTATCCAGCGTTTGTTTGTTTCAGTCTTTGTCTGTAAGCTGGATACAGGAACAAAGAAATGTGGTCCGAGTGTCCAAGGTGGGGGCGGGGTGCAGCCCTGTATGCACTACGTATGTTACTGTAAACATGATCCAGAGTGTTCTTGCCCCGGGTGGGAATGTTCACATGTTGGTAATATTTGGGAAGTACAGTCCATAAATTGCACTGGTTAAAGTCGCCTGCAGCAATAAATATAGCATTGGGGTGAGCTGTCTCTAGCGCATTGATGACATCATAGAGTTTACTGAGAGCCACAGAGGCATTAGTTCTTGGGCTAACATACACAGCAGCCAGAAACACAGCACTATGCTCTCGTGCTCAATAATAGGGCCGACATTTCAGGCAATAAAAACTCCACTTCTGGCGAACAGCACTTTATAAACAGTCCATACCTCTTCACACCACAAATTACTGACAAACACACACACTGCCTCCTTTTACCTTCCCTGAAGCAGCAGTGCAGTTTCCCCGGTGTACAAAACTTGATTTTTGAGGGAATCAAGGAGACAGCTGGAGAAA